AAAGAGCTACTAGTCCCCCACCCAAGCAACATGATGATTTGAGGCCTGAGGTCAGATCAGGTTGTCCAGGAAGAGATCACAAGGGAAATCAAAGATTTAGGTATTCCAAAGCTTTGATCAATGTTTTTCACTCTCTTGCAATATATAATTTTAGTCTCTCTTAATGCTCCGCCCTTAACTCTTGCCTTGGCAACACTGTACTATTTATTTCATTCTATTCCATACAGAGGCCTGACAAAAGTAAATTTTGACTCCTTTGGCAAGTTTCACTGTATCATGTGCTGTTTATGCTACACAAAGAAAAGGAGAAATAGTTTCACAGAAGTTTAGTTTCCAACCACTTTGTTCCTTGAAGTTCTTAAACAAGTACTTAATCCTGAAGTTCTCTGTAGGCCAGATCCACAGCTGATAAAGCCAGTAATCCACTATATGAATTTACATCAGCTAAGAATATGGCCCTAACGCAGAATATACATCGACAACAATAGGAATTCTTGTGGACAGTTTATTGGATCTACTGCCATGGTAGGAAATGTCACTTTAAATCCACTACACAAAGAAAGCACAATAGAGCAGGAGCAAGAGAGAAGCACCACTAAGCAGCAAACAGCAGGCCAGGTGCTGGGCAGACAATATGTTCAGAATTCATATAAATCACCATGTATGGGCAGAAGGTGCATCTGTTAATTAGCAAATGCTCCTTACCTGCAGTAAGAGAGTTTGATTGTCTCTGTGATATTTTTCAGGACTTTCTGGTTTCTCACCTTTTGCTGCTGGCTTTGAGGTGCTCCTTTTAGTGCCTGCTGCAAAAAAACCAAGATTAATTGAGGAAACTGCCCCACTCCTCTCTCAAACTACATGCAAGACTTTTCCCAGCAGGGAGCATTGGAGAGAATATCATTTGCTGGCCTGAGGGAAAATTGCAGGAAGAGAACACAGCTGCAGTAACCACAGCTTCTTCCAGCAGGACTCTCAAGAAATATAGAATCACTGGCTTTGGAGAGCTCATAGCTACCACAGTGTGCATATGTATTTAGCCATCTTGGTCGTCTCATTGGTACGATACCTGTTCTGGAAGTATATGTATCATTTCGTTCGTGTTGATCTCTGGATTTGATTGGCCTTTGAGAAACAGTGACCTATAGGGGAAAACAATCCATAATCTCTTAGCTGAAGAATTCTGCTCTTTGCTCTACAAGCCATAGTCATCAAATGCAAATACTAGGGGGCATGGGGAAAGACTTGGAAGAACAGCCATCAGTGCAACAGGAGCAGAACAAACATATTTGCAGAAAGTACGCCAGTGTTCAGTGAAAATACCCCCTACTGTACAGTTGCTTGAACTTTGCAGTTTCCATCTCTTCACCAGTTGTAGTTTTTTAAATTATTGAGGGCTGGTCTTGTTTTTGCAGACTGTAATGGGAACAGGACCTAGCCCTTATCAGAAGATGTAGCTTTTATAGGCAGCAGAAAAAGAGCAGATGTCCTCTTCTCCACTAGCCCTCCTTCCTGCTATAACCGATTGTTAATACTGGTGAGGAAATCAAAGACAAAAACTATCCACCTGATATAGGTACTGTTTCAAAACCAATTGCTATATTGAGTTCCACTCAATGCAAGAACAGGAGGCCACCAGGAAGTTACAGTTATAGCTAACAATGGTTATAGTTCCCTTCATCATGCATTTGCAACTTTGGTTTTGACGCTAGTTAAGCAGTCCCAAAGGCACTGCATGTCAGTGAAAAATTGGTGTGGTGTGTCTCTTTCCATTTTTGCTATCCTTGGACCCATTACACTGCCTCTGCAACAGCTGAGAGCTATCCCACATCAGCAGAATTTCAAGCCTGCTTTCAGGGACTTCTGCACAACTTGAAAAGTGCAGAAGGACCAGAAGTCAAAAGGGAATCTGACTCAATGTTTCAAGTCTCACTCTGCATAGAAGACACTATTTTCTTCCCATATTCAACACACTCTTTATTCCCCAAGTCACTGCTCTGACCTTTCTTGCCAATAAGGAAGCATGGATGACAGAGAAGGACAGTTTATTGAGGAAGCTTGATGAAGGCTGGGATATGCTCCCAACAGCTGGGAAGTAAAGAGAGAGAGAGAACTATACAAACTTATATACAAAGCCCAGGCCCACTGCTGCTTAATCAGCATGGGTAACCAACAGGGAGACATGGTTTGCTTCAGGAGGGAAGGATGTGACAAACTTCCTCTCCAGCACTCCTGTCCAAGGAATAAAACCATAAGCTGGGACCCTGGGTAGGCCTCACTCTTTATCCAACATGCTAGAATCATTTTACTGCATTATGTATTAGACAAATAGTCAGATGTACTGAAACATCCAATTTTCCAGTAACTTTCTCCAGTCCTTTGTTTTTGATTTTGGTTCAGGGTTGTCCCTCAAGCTATACAACATCTAGGAGCAGAAGCCAGAGCACCTCCGTAAAAGAGGCAATAAACAGGACCTCTGTCAACAGCTTTACCTTGTGTGGAGGCTCCTTGTGAAAATAAGTGATTTCTCCTGTGTCTGTTCCCACAAGAGCTAGGAGATGTTGAATCTTTTTTCTGTCTTCCAGCTCCCTATAATTCAAAGAAAAGGGATCAGTATGAGATACAGCCTCTCCCTCAAGCGGCAGGGAGTCTGATAATCTTTATAAAAGCTGCTCTAATTTTTCAGCCTTTTGCAGCCCAAAAGGCAACACTGTCTTTTAACTAGGCTACCAGATTCAGTTGACATTTACTTACAATACATTGGAACAAGTCTCCTTTTACTATTATAGAAGTGTAGGGGGAAATGGGTGTCTCTTTTCTGTACAATCTAACACTAGTACATAGTAGGACTGGGAGCTGAAAAAACAGTATTCTCACTCCAGGGTGAAGTTAGAAGTTCCTAACAAACTAGTTAAGAAGACCTGAATCCAACAGATTTACCAATGTAGAACAGACTTTATCATCTTAAAATGATAGTGTTCCATTTACTCCAGTTCAAGATAGACTGTAATAGATGTACAAGGCTCTAAGTATCTCCTTGAAGAGATGCTACAGCACTCCCACAAACCACTTACAGTCCCTGCCCACAAACCACTTAACAGTCCCCACCAAGTGAACCAAAAATCTGAATCACTCCTAACTAGGATTCAGAAGAAACTCAGGGAGCTACAATCTACTGAGAGCTAATTTGGTGCAAGATGAGCAATTCAGGCTCAAAATAGAGAGAGGCACAAATAGGAAGGGGTTATATTGACTGGAAAACGGTGGAGGGAGCTCTAAAAAAAACCAAAAAAAAAACCAACAAAAAACCAACCCCAAAACACTACCCATTTTGCATTTGCATTTTAAAATTTGAGTTTCTTGCTTTTAAGATTGCATGGAGGGAATACAACCACGGAGGGAATACAAAACAGTTAAACCAAAACCTCCAAGCTGAAGCTGACAATTTCATTTCAAACCTGAACTTTTTTCTACCTGTGTATCTTCTATGTGGACCTATTCTGGTAGCAAAATCCTGTAACCATCCAGGACAGCACATTGGAGGTCTTGCAGTACAGTCACTTAGTTTTTCTTACTAGGCTAGTGCTAATGAACAGACCTATAGTAAGAACTATACTTTTAAGGCGGTGGCTCTAACATGTAGCTATAAAACCTTTTCTGCACATCTCCATTTACCTGACTCACCTGATTTTCAGCCGGTCATTTTCTGAGTAAAGACGTAACACATGTTCCCTCTCCTGGAAGAGGTAAACTTGCATATCGCTCAAAGCCTTCTGCAGCTCTGCAATTTCCTCTTCCCGTTGACGCATCTCCCACTGTAGTTTGTGCTAGTGAGAGAAGAAGAGAGACAGAGAGAAGTATGTGAATGATACTCAGCATCTGGCAACAGGAGCGACTTATGCCAAGCAGAACCTAATACTGTAACACCTCCTAGTAGGGCTGAATGGTTTTAAAGCAGTACTACCAAACTTTGACCAGCCAAGGGTATTACTGCAAGGAGATCTTTCAGCCAGAAACCACAGGCCACTGAAGCTGGTGATTCCACCACACTTGGATCAACTAGTGCTCTACCTTGATCCAAGTGATGATACAACATTAATCAAGCTTGAACACCTGACCTATGCTGGAACTGGGGAGGTTTGCAGCTCCAAGTCAGCGGTCAAGTTCTGAAAAGACAACACTTGAAAGTTTCCAACTTGAATGAAAGCAAGGACCTTGCAACCTTGTGTTACGCTTAACAACAACAACAACAAAAACAAAAAAGAAACAAACAAAAAAAATCAAAAACCAAAAACAGCTTACCACAGGATTTAGGGTAGGATATTATTACAAGCTTATGTAGTAATTGGCTTGTCCAATTACCATTTCCCTCAGAGTTCATGTGTGTCAGGGTGGACAAGTAATCCATGAGAAGAACATTCCAACAGAAGATCAAGGTCAAAGATATCCCAATCCTTGTAGCCCATCAGGCTAGCATAATTATGGAGTTGGCAATTTCCACAGCCAAATGACACAAGGAAGTGACATGGCTAACATCACATTACATCCGTAGCCCAAATAACTAGGTCCACATTTACAGCTGGGTTGACTGTGAATGACTCCTGTGAGACTCATATTACCCACTCTGCTACATACCAGTAAAGGGGGGCAGTATTGAGACTTCTCCTAGCTTTTACCCACATGCTGATCTACAGAATATTTTTTTAAATCTTGCCTACCCTGAAGATCTTCAATCAGTTTCAGACATGGATGATTCATGAATAGCTATAATATTTTCAGATGTGATCAATGCTCTTCCAAACATTTTAATAAGTAAGGATCCTTTCTACTGTATGCAGCTACCTGGCAGCTTTCTGTTTGCTACGGTGATGCATTATAAGATGAGAGAACCCTACCTGTTATAAAATGTCTGGTTTAATAAACTAGGTTTTACTTAGAAGTTGTTTACCTTGTTTTGCCAATAGAAGTTCTGGAAGCAGGTAGCATTTGCCACTGTCAAAACATCAGAACATGCACACATTCATGCACTTCTGGCAGCTCTCCATGGTTCCTTGTAGTAGCCATAATGGTCAAATGGAAAAAACACTCAGGGAATGAACCAGCTGCAGAAGGGATAGCAACATCCAGCAGAAGGCACAGGCATAGTTACATATGCCTTCAGTCAGCTGCTGGCAGAGCTTTGTTTCATTCAGGAAACAAGGCATAAACCTGTTGGCAAAAGGGAGGTGGGAGTGGAGGTTGGGGCAGGGACAGGGGGAATGGCTTCTGTTACAAAGAAGCTCTGAGTGTAGAAATACTCAAAGTCTGGCTAACAGAACTGGAGCTGTGCTGGAAGAACACTGTAGCATGGAATAGGTCTTGGAGTGTAAGGTTTGGGTCAGAAACCATCCTTTTCATTCTGCTTATTAAGCATTTAGGCCAGTGGTTCTCATCTTCTTTAGATCCAAGTTACCCCAAGTGTTTAGGCCAGTGGTTCTCAGCATTTTTAGATACAAGGTACCCCTCACTGGACTCAAGGCACCCCTTGAAAAGTGTCACCTGTTGGTTTTCACTTTATTATTATTTTTCTGTGTAAAAAAGAAAGTAATTCTTTTTATACAAAGATCTCAGATGACAACAGGTCAGAATGCTATTTGAAATCTCTGGGTTTATCTTATGAACCATGTTTGCACACCTAACAGTGCTTACATTTCATGAAACACTGTGGCACCCCTGAATGGTGCCACAGAACACTTGTTGAAAATCACTGGCTTAGGCACACTGGGGTCCTGGTCCATTCTGGGAGCTCCTGGAGACCACTGCAGTAGTCCGCATCCACTCCAACAAAGCTCTTATTCATTTTGGGCAAATGAGTGTCCACACTTCACCAAACTAATGCATAGTGAAAAGCAGGTGGAAATAGTACTGTCCATTAAACTCAGGGTTGAGATAACATACATACACATAATATCATGAAGACTTTCCACAACAGTGCAATATATTAAAATAAAGGTACTTTCCCCTATGCAATATAAGACCTGATGGCCCAAACTTGCTCATTCCTAGGACCTCAAGATGTAATGATTCTCCTTCAGCTCAGTCCAGTCACATTCCCCAGCAATCTTCAGTATGAGAAACGTCAGTAATATTAGCTCTTCAACCTCAATACTCTGATGAGAGTATAACCCTTTTTCTGCCAAAAACTGGATGTGTGAGTGTATTTAATGCGTCTATGTGTGATGAACTAAATAAAACAGTCCATCACCATTATGGTATTCTTTCTTTTTTTACCTGCTCATCATATGTTTCTTTGTATCTCTCCAGCCTTTTCACCAGGCCTTCATGCTCTTCATCAAATTCAGAAATCTTTTTGCGATAGTATTCTAGCAGCTCCCGGGAGGGGCGAAGAAAGGCCAGGCGCTCATTGATGGAAGGGAGTGGAGTAGAATCCCCACAACCTGGACTTGGAGAATTAGTAAATCTGGAAGTGATTCGGGTGGCTGCCAAGCTGGATGAAATGGAGGAACAAAACAAAAGAAAATAGCATTACGTTTTATGAATGAATAATGTTTGGCTCTTTCATCATTAAAGTTCACCATTCCCTACTATGACTGGTCTAATGCAGTGGTGCTCAACTTTTTGGCCCTGCAGACCAAAGGAGCAGCTTGGGGTCGGTCCCCAAGTCAGAGGAAACCCTATGCACTAGGTTCAGGTGTTGGGGGCCCAGCACCACTTCCTCCTTGCCCCTGGCACTGGGATTGGGGTCCAAGGCCTGGCACGTCTCCCTCTCCCAGCTTCCCATATCAAGATGGGTCCTGGGGCCCAGCACTGCCCATGCACGCTAGGACTGGGCACTCGATTCAGCACGCAGGATGCAGGACTCCCCAGAATCTAGAAATTTAGTAAGAGTGGAGCCCCACAAACCAGTTCACGTGGCACCACAGGCTGGATCTGTCCTGATGGGATAATTTTTCAAACAACGTACAAAAAATATTTTACAATAGTCAAAAAATATGACACCCATAACATTTTGTTTAAATGTTAGTATCACAGTAAACGTAGTTAACAGCTTCTGCACCTCAAATAATCTGACTTCAACATTACCAGCAAAATAAAATTTGTGGCATATAAAAAACACAAAAAAAATTAATATGGGACTGCTGACCTACCCACTAGTGGGTAGAGATTTGCCTGCTTCGTGGGGGGTCGGGGGGTATGCTTCCCAGTCCAGTTAGACAGGGTGCCCTACTTGGCAGTTGTGGAGAGCTCTATGAGGAAGGCATCCACAGGAATGGGCCAACATTGGTGGGGAAAAAGTGTCAGACATAAAGGAAAGACGAAAGGAAAAGGGGTACTACATACTCGAGTACAAGGTGGAAAGCAAACGTTGGACAGAGTATAAAGCAAAAAAAGGAATGAGATGTGAAAAATGTCACGAGCAAACATATCCAATACAACAGTGAAGCTGAGGTAGAAAGAAACAAGCAAAGGTAGTATTTACCTCGCAGACAGCAGCAGCATAACTTATGGGCAACAAACAGGGTATCAGCCCTGGGTGCAAACTACATTGGGGCATCTTTCTCCCCTACTCCCCCCAGGATTCTTTGCCCCAGCCATGTGGCAGGACAGCTGTAGTTTCCTGTGGCGTTCGAGTGTTTTCCCTTTTTGGGCCAATTGGGCGCAGCTATCTTCTTGTGGGTTGGCAGCTTGCCCTCCAATGGGAGTCTGTAAGGTCCCTAGGGGTTCTTGCCTACCACGACTTGATGTTAAGGATTATTGCTGGGAGGAAGTTCTCACGTCCTGCCTCTCCTCGTTCCCTCTTCAATCACTCGCTTAGATCTTTGTCTTGAGGCTCTGCCTCCCCTACACCCTGCCATATGCCAACCAGGGATGATGTTAGGTCTTGGCCGATGCTACCTCAAAGTCAATCAGCTATTTTATCTCAGTCCCCATTCGGACGGTATACCGTCCTTATTGAAGCCTCATGTTGGCCTGACTCATCGTTGCACGTACCCTGGGATGCCTTCTGTGCGGGCCGGGGGCAACCCGAGCCCTTTTCCGTGCTGCATGCGGGCTGTGGCCAGCAGCCCGGGCACGCTGGGTCGGAGAGGGAAGGCCGTCGAGCTGGAATTAGGCACAAACGCTTAGCGGTAGTTTAAAAGATTGTTTACTTACACCGAGATGGCAGTGGTGTAGGCTGGAAAACTTGCTTGAGTTGCGGTTACAGACAGACAACAAAACAAAACTCGAACCTGCAGGGCACGAGGGTACGTCGCAAGGGGTTTTCGGCGACGGGAAGATGCAAAACACGAGGGTACGTCGCAAGGGGTTTTCGGCGACGGGAAGATAAACCTGCAGGACTCGAACCCGGGTAGAAGAGCTCTTGGTCGGTCAAGGACTCACACGAAGTTTGCTAGGCTCCATGGGTCCGGTTCTTTTGCGTGCAGGAAGGGATACGTCTAGGCTGCGATCAACGACAGGGAGAGGCTAGAGGTTGATCAGACCTCTGTTGCCTGCTTGAAATGCGCTGGGTCCATAAGGATCCCCAATAATGGGACTCGAATTAGCATACAAATGGCGGGAACTGTTTGCAACGAGCATTTCTGTGCTGCAACAAAGAAATGCACCCTGCAAAGAAAGCTTCAAATTGGCGGGAAATTCTCCCTTGCACCGGGGTTCTCTTTTGCAGCAGAAAACTCCACCGTGCAAAGAAGCTATAATTTAGCAGGAACAATTTAGCAGTGCCGAAGCACACAAAAACAAAAAATCACACCCTTTGGGTTGTGACACCTTCCTTCAGGGTTCACTCCCTCCCCAGGGTTACTCACGGCTTTTAATATTTTTCCCCTCTCTCCCCAGGCTCACCGCTGTCCCAGTCTCGGTTAGCTTCATCTGAGATCCACAGCTTTGCAAGAGGTATGTATCCTGGCTCCTTCGAGCCAGCCTTAGCTGGGCACCCCAGCTCTTGGGGTTGCTACTGCTCGTCCCTGCTGGGGCAATCGCTCAATCCCCAGTGCTCCAGGCTCTCAGGAAACTTCACTTACAGTCCTCCTTGGACGCTGTTCGGTGAGGATTTTATCCCTCTCTCTGAGGGCCGTCCAGCTAATTGACACCAGCATGCGTCCACAAACCGTGCCTATGCTGGTGCAGGGGAGTGAGTTTGGGCTTTATCAGCGTTTTGCAGTGGCCATTCTTCCCATCGCTCCTGCGCTGGCACTGCTTGTCTTTTGGCAGCGGCCTCTCTACCACGGCGCCTTCGATCTTTGGCGACGTTCTGCGGCCACCACTCTTCCCTCTGCTCTGGCGCTGGAGGTAAGTTTCTGCTCGTGACGGCATCCCCGCCACAACAGCCCTAAACCCAGCAGTGTATCTGGGGGGCAGGGGGCAAGCAAAATGGTGCTTCCACCCCCACTTTCACCCCCCACGAGTCTCAGAGCAGGCAGTCTTACACCCAATAGCACATCTTTAAGGCCGAGGGAGAAAATGAGGCACCTGCTACCCAAGTTGATGCTGCTGCTGCACAGGGATGCTGCTGCTACAACAGCAGTGGCAGCTGCCTTCAGTGTGACTTCTCTTCCCCTCACCTTGTTCCCCCTCATCTACAGTGGTGGGGATATGCCCTCCAGTCCTGTGCACTGAAGTAGCTTGCTACACGTCAGATAGGATGTCCAAATTCTGGTAGTCATAATAACACATTTCAGAGTTCCATTGGCTTGTCATTGTTGCTTGATATAGAAGCAACTAGAAATTGTAAAGCTGTGTTTCATTAGGGACTCTATCTTTTTCTTCCAAATGTACAATAATACAACCATGAGTAGAGCATGTCAATTGTATGTGAGGAACAAGCAGAAGCTTCTTTGCTTCAGTAATTATCACCTAGATATTACCCTGAGGAACATAGTAATGTTACTTATATCAGCAG